AAATCCAGAAAATCACATTGTATGATTTTTAAGTAATTAATTTGCATTTTATTGCATGACATAAGTATTTGATCACCTACCAACCAGTAAGAATTCCGGCTCTCACAGACCTGTTCGTTTTTCTTTAAGAAGCCCTCCTGTTCTCCACTCATTACCTGTATTAACTGCACCTGTTTGAACTCGTTACCTGTTTAAAAGACACCTGTCCACACACTCAATCAAACAGACTCCAACCTCTCCACAATGGCCAAGACCAGAGAGCTGTGTAAGGACATCAGGGATAAAATTGTAGACCTGCACAAGGCTGGGATGGGCTACAGGACAATAGGCAAGCAGCTTGGTGAGAAGGCAACAACTGTTGGCACAATTATTAGAAAATGGAAGAAGTTCAAGATGACGGTCAATCACCCTCGGTCTGGGGCTCCATGCAAGATCTCACCTCGTGGGGCATCAATGATCATGAGGAAGGTGAGGGATCAGCCCAGAACTACACGGCAGGACCTGGTCAATGACCTGAAGAGAGCTGGGACCACAGTCTCAAAGAAAACCATTAGTAACACACTACACCGTCATGGATTAAAATCCTGCAGCGCACGCAAGGTCCCCCTGCTCAAGCCAGCGCATGTCCAGGCCCGTCTGAAGTTTGCCAATGACCATCTGGATGATCCAGAGGAGGAATGGGAGAAGGTCATGTGGTCTGATGAGACAAAAATAGAGCTTTTTGGTCTAAACTCCACTCGCCGTGTTTGGAGGAAGAAGAAGGATGAGTACAACTCCAAGAACACCATCCCAACCGTGAAGCATGGAGGTGGAAACATCATTCTTTGGGGATGCTTTTCTGCAAAGGGGACAGGACGACTGCACCGTATTGAGGGGAGGATGGGTGGGGCCATGTATCGCGAGATCTTGGCCAACAACCTCCTTCCCTCAGTAAGAGCATTGAAGATGGGTCGTGGCTGGGTCTTCCAGCATGACAACGACCCGAAACACACAGCCAGGGCAACTAAGGAGTGGCTCCGTAAGAAGCATCTCAAGGTCCTGGAGTGGCCTAGCCAGTCTCCAGACATGAACCCAATAGAAAATCTTTGGAGGGAGCTGAAAGTCCGTATTGCCCAGCGACAGCCCCGAAACCTGAAGGATCTGGAGAAGGTCTGTAAGGAGGAGTGGGCCAAAATCCCTGCTGCAGTGTGTGCAAACCTGGTCAAGACCTACAGGAAACGTATGATCTCTGTAATTGCAAACAAAGGTTTCTGTACCAAATATTAAGTTCTGCTTTTCTGATGTATCAAATACTTATGTCATGCAATAAAATGCAAATTAATTACTTAAAAATCATACAATGTGATTTTCTGGATTTTTGTTTTAGATTCCGTCTCTCACAGTTGAAGTGTACCTATGATAAACATTACAGACCTCTACATGCTTTGTAAGTAGGAAAACCTACGAAATCGGCAGTGTATCAAATACTTGTTCTCCCCACTGTATATAACATGTGATGGCATAACACAACAGATTAGATAAATTGGAATGACACTCTCACTCACGTTTGCACAAAAAGAGCTGTGAGCAAACCACACCCCAAAATATTCTGAGCCGCTGCCCCTACATTTTAATTATCACTAAAAGAGCAAAGAACCCTTTTGTGAACTGCAAAGAACCATTGAAGGGCTCAAAGGATTCCACATAGAACCATCACCCATCCTGAAGAACCCTTGAGGAACCCTCTTTTCTTAGTGTGTTTAGCCCAGTACAGAATCCAGTGAACATGGTTCTGTGCACAGGGCTAGGTATCCAATCCAACTGATTCTGTTTGTTTACATGTATCTTTAAATGCAACACATTTCTATGTGTTTACATGGAAATTGTACTCTATAACTGACATTTTGCTTATAGTAAGATGATTTGCAAAGTTATTTTTTGTTGTTGATTTACGTATACCCTGTATCACTGAAGGTTTATACACACTAAAAGTCAATGCCACACAAATGTTTAGTTTGATTAATAATCCTCTCATTTTTTTTCCAGAGTTGAATTCAACACTGTACCTGTAGTATTTTTGCTGTGAGAATAAAGAGGGAGAAATTGCATGAAAGGTGGAGACTGGGATTGAACCCTGGTCTCCAGTGGAATAGAGTATTTTGCATTTTCAGCATTATTCCATGCTGTTCATATTAAACAGCTTTAACTTATCAATGGTATTCGCTTATTGGTAGGGGTTAATATTTAGGATGTTTTACAGCTTAATATCAAAAACATATTTTGGTATTATTTTATGTATTTGACATGTAATGCAAATTCTCTAAATCCCTTAAAGTTTTATTTCAGGGTGCATTTAGAAGGTCTCTGGGAATATTCCCTCTTAGTTTTTTAAAGGCAAAGTTTGTCTTCGGAACCTGCCATGAGTTGAGGTAGTTGGGTTGAGTTTGGCTTGAGTTGAAACAAGGAACAGAATTGAAATTCAGGGAATTGGTCTAGGGAGAGAATTGAATTGAGTGGCATAATATTGAATTAGGAATTGGAATTTGATCTTGAATTAACTCAATTGAAAGAACTGCTCTGGAATTTCAAATTGAATTGATGGAATTTTTAGGGAGAGGGAATTGAATTTGTGGAATTCACCCCAACTCTGTTATGGATGCGCAAATCTAATATGGGTCACATGTAAAACTGTGTGTGGACAGTCATAAAAAAAGAGAATCAGATTTGGGTTCTTAGGGTGTCTGTGTAAACACAGCCAATGTATCAATCCAGTTTATAAATGCAGTTTATAAAAGGTCTGGATAATCATCCGGGATGTGAATTGTGATCAATACCATCTTCATCTCCCCAGTCATACCACAGGAGGTTTGTGGCACCTAAATTGGGGAGGACGGCTGGAACGGAAAAGTGGTATGGTATCAAACACAACACATGGTTTCCATGTGTTTGATGCCATTCCATGTGCTCCATTCCAGCCATTATTATGAGCTGTCCTCCCCTCACCAGCCTCCCCATGTCACAAAATCATCAGACTTGAGATTAAAAGACAAAAACAGAACATATTGATGGCAGTCTGATAACTGTATTAAAGAGGAACTATCGGCAAAAACCTACAGTGACATCGGTAATAGTCATATACATCAATTATAATCCCCAAAATACAAGAGACTAGAAAAACCTATTTACAAGCAGTCTGTCTGTAAGATTGTAATAATTACATTACATCATTCGGTCTTCATAAAAGGCCTTGATGATTAACATTTTGATGTGAATGATGATTTCTAATATTGGTCTTCCCTATCAGATGCCTGTGATGTCACACTGGATCCAAACACAGCATACAGATACCTCTCTCTGTCTGAGGAGAACAGGAAGGTGACTGGGGGGAAAGAGGATCATATGTATCCTGATCACCCAGAGAGATTTAACTACTGGGACCAGATTCTGTGTAGAGAGGGCCTGACTGGGCGCTGTTACTGGGAGGTAGAGTGGGGGGGGGGGGGGGGGGGGGGGGGGTCGTATAGGAGTGACATATAAAGGAATCAGCAGGAGAGGAGACAGTAATGACTGTGTGCTGGGAGCCAATAACATGTATTGGACTCTATGGACCTCTAATGACAGTTACTCTGCCTGGCACAATAACAAGGAAACTAACATACCTCTTCCATCCCCCCCACTCCAACAGAGTAGGAGTGTATCTGGACTGGCCAGCCGGCACTCTGTCCTTCTACAGAGTCTCCTCTGACACACTGACCCACCTGTACACATTCCACACCACATTCACTGAGCCCCTCTACCCAGGGTTTTGGGTTTGGACAGACTCCTCAGTGTCCCTGTGTCAGGTAAAACCTTTTCATTAGGAAAGCTGGGATCTTGTTGTTATTGACTGATGTTTGTAAATAATGATGTTTTGTAGAATGTTTATTTTGTCAAATTGTTGATGCGACAACCCTGCTTCTGTTTGAACTCAGTTCCACTGAATGGGACGTTCCTGGTTCAGATTGAGTCAGAAAAAGACAAATAAAGCTGTTGTTTTAAAAACACATTAAAGATGTTTACTTTTTTTATCCTATGAAAGAAGAATGGGCTGTTAATGAAATATAGTGTTTTGGTGGAAAACCTCTCTGTCAGAAACCTACACAACGCTCACACCCCTCTCCATTGTTGTAGCCAGGGCAAACAGGACCATGTGATAAGGAACACCAAAAACTCCAGAGGAATTCATTAAAATGTGATCCTGGTTTATTTTAGGATACATAAAGAGGATGCTTCACAGACAACTTTAATTAGAGATCATCTGCAATAAACCTTTAACCTCACAGAACAATGTAAACAAACATAGCAATGCTTCTACTATTGTTAATGGTTAACAGGAAATCAACGATACACAGTTCTCTATACAATACTGACTGGGCTGGTTAACAAGACAGGTATCATCATCACTGTAATCCTCATCACCATCATCATGGCCATATTATAAAGCCTCTACAGTGCTAATGGTGGAGCCTAAGCTACTCCTTCCTGTTACTGCTGCTATTTCAACCTGTCAACAACATTTTTTTAAAACAGGCATTAAGAACAACGTAGATACCTTGAGCTGTACATCAATAATGAGTTCAGTCGTTTCATGAGGAAACCGGATGAATATGGCAAGATGTAGAACTCTAATACGACTGCGGGTTCACGGCCAAACAAGTCAACAAATATAATACATCTTTTTATTAGGAGTCCTGACTGCAAAAACCTGCCTTTAATGTAAACATGTCAATATAGTGTGGACATATTTATATCTGTAGGTAAGTATGGTTATGTGTTAATAAGTTTGGGTTTAAAATAGATTGTTAGCCCTAATGTATAGTGAGTCTGGAACACAGGTCTCAATTCCTTGAACCCAAAGGAAGTTTAGGTACAACAACATGCAGACACACACTACATAATCTTCTATAATATTCTCCTTCACAAATTCCCAATGTTTGGGGTTGAGATAATCCAAGTCAAGCTGAAACATTATTGTTCGGTTAAAACACCTAGAACACCCAGAGAACCCACAGAACCCAAACTAGGATATATTTCAAGGTCAGGGGTTAAAAGTCGTCATGCGGCGGCCATGTTGTATCAGTAGAACCTTGTTTAGGTTAGCTTGCTGCTATCCGCTCCTGTCAGGTGGGTTTGCTCTAAAACATATTGTTGTGCCTTTATCTGTTGGGGAGTTGGAGGGTTTGTGTGAGATTATCAAAATAAGATGTTTTGTGCTTGTGCCTTTTGCAGGGCTATCATTAAGACATTACTGTGATATGGGGAATGCTAGGACTGCCACATGAGCAATGGGACAAATTCAAGTGTGGTGTGTGAGTGTGTGTTAAAGGGATACTTTGGGATTTTGGCAATGAGGACCTTTATCCACTTCCCCAGAGTCAGATGGACTCGCGGATACCGTTTTTATGTCTCTGTGTCCAGTATGAAGGAAGTCAGAGGTAGTTTCACGAGCCAATGCTTCCAGTCATTGCGCTAACGCTAGTTAGCAATTGCGCTAGCGCTAGTTAGCAACTTCCTTCAAACTGCACACAGAGACATAAAAACGGTCTCCACGAGTTCATCTGACTCTGGGGAAGGAGATAAAGGGCTTCACTGCCAGAATCCCGTAGTATCCCTTTAAGTGTATGCATTAGTGTGTGAACCCTTGTTATAGGTTAAGACTCTTGTGCTTCCCCTCCCCTCCACCCCATCCCCAGTTAGTCTGGCCCATGTTGGTGTGGACGGTTCTAGTTGTGTTCTGCCAGGACGTCGTTGAACACGTTCAGGAACATGTGAACATGGTACTCCTTAAACACCAGAGCAGGACGGAACCGGATCGACCGATCTCCACAGCCACCCAGCAGGACACCTGAGACAAACAGACAGACAGATTGAGACAGACCGACAGAGACGATAGAGGTTACACAGAAAATCACCAGCGTGGAGTGGGTATATGTGTGTGTGTGTAGTGTGTCTTACCCTTGTCCCGGGCTTTGAAGATGATGCTGTTGCGTGTGGCGTCATCACGGATGTCGATGGCACAGAATGTCCCCTGTCCCCGAGCACTGCTCAACAGGTTAGGGTACTGGTCCTGGGGGGAGAGGTACAGATGTTAGAACACAGAATGTCCCCTGTCCCCGAGCACTGCTCAACAGATTAGGGTACTGGTCCTGGGGGGAGAGGTACAGATGTTAGCACGCACACACACAGTCTCTGGTACCTGTAGTTGGTAGAGTCTCTGGTACCTGTAGTTGGTAGAGTCTCTGGTACCTGTAGTTGGTAGAGTCTGTCTCTGGTACCTGTAGTTGGTAGAGTCTGTCTCTGGTACCTGTAGTTGGTAGAGTCTCTGGTACCTGTAGTTGGTAGAGTCTGTCTCTGGTACCTGTAGTTGGTAGAGTCTCTGTCTCTGGTACCTGTAGTTGGTAGAGTTTCTGTCTCTGATACCTGTAGTTGGTAGAGTCTCTGGTACCTGTAGTTGGTAGAGTCTCTGTCTCTGGTACCTGTAGTTGGTAGAGTCTCTGGTACCTGTAGTTGGTAGAGTCTCTGTATCTAGTACCTGTAGTTAGTAGAGTCTCTGGTACCTGTAGTTGGTAGAGTCTCTGTATCTAGTACCTGTACTTGGTAGAGTTTCTGTCTCTGGTACCTGTAGTTGGTAGAGTCGCAGTCTCTGGTACCTGTAGTTGGTAGAGTCTCTGGTACCTGTAGCTGGTAGAGTCTCTGTCTCTGGTACCTGTAGTTGGTAGAGTTTCTGTCTCTGGTACCTGTAGTTGGTAGAGTCTCTGTCTCTGGTACCTGTAGTTGGTAGAGTCTCTGTCTCTGGTACCTGTAGTTGGTAGAGTCTCTGGTACCTGTAGTTGGTAGAGTCTCTGTATCTAGTACCTGTAGTTGGTAGAGTCTCTGTATCTAGTACATGTAGTTGGTAGAGTATCTGTACCTAGTACCTGTAGTTGGTAGAGTCTCTGTACCTAGTACCTGTAGTTGGTATAGTTTCTGTCTCTGATACCTGTAGTTAGTAGAGTCTCTGGTACCTGTAGTTGGTAGAGTATCTGTCTCTGGTACCTGAAGTTGGTAGAGTCTCTGTCTCTGGTACCTGTAGTTGGTAGAGTCTCTGTCTCTGGTACCTGTAGTTGGTAGAGTCTCTGTCTCTGGTACCTGTAGTTGGTAGAGTATCTGGTACCTGTAGTTGGTAGAGTCTCTGTATCTAGTACCTGTACTTGGTAGAGTTTCTGTCTCTGGTACCTGTAGTTGGTAGAGTCGCTGTCTCTGGTACCTGTAGTTGGTAGAGTCTCTGGTACCTGTAGTTGGTAGAGTCTCTGTATCTGGTACCTGTAGTTGGTAGAGTCTCTGTCTCTGGTACCTGTAGTTGGTAGAGTCTCTGTCTCTGGTACCTGTAGTTGGTAGAGTCCCTGGTACCTGTAGTTGGTAGAGTCTCTGTATCTAGTACCTGTAGTTGGTAGAGTCTCTGTACCTAGTACCTGTAGTTGGTAGAGTCTATGTACCTAGTACCTGTAGTTGGTAGAGTGTATGTACCTAGTACCTGTAGTTGGTAGAGTGTCTGTCTCTGGTACCTGTAGTTGGTAGAGTCTCTGTATCTAGTACCTGTAGTTCGTAGAGTCCCTGTGTCTGGTACCTGTAGTTAGTAGAGTCGCTGTCTCTGGTACCTGTAGTTGGTAGTCTCTGGTACCTGTAGTTGGTAGAGTCTCTGTATCTAGTACCTGTAGTTGGTAGAGTCTCTGGTACCTATAGTTGGTAGAGTCTCTGTCTCTGGTACCTGTAGTTGGTAGAGTTTCTGTCTCTGGTACCTGTAGTTGGTAGAGTCTCTGTCTCTGGTACCTGTAGTTGGTAGAGTCTATGTCTCTGGTACCTGTAGTTGGTAGAGTCTCTGGTACCTGTAGTTGGTAGAGTCCCTGTATCTAGTACCTGTAGTTGGTAGAGTCTCTGGTACCTGTAGTTGGTAGAGTCTCTGTATCTAGTAATTGTAGTTGGTAGAGTCTCTGGTATCTGTAGTTGGTAGAGTCTCTGGTACCTGTAGTTGGTAGAGTCTCTGTCTCTGGTACCTGTAGTTGGTAAAGTCTCTGTCTCTGGTACATGTAGTTGGTAGAGTCTCTGTCTCTGGTACCTGTAGTTGGTAGAGTCTCTGGTACCTGTAGTTGGTAGAGTCTCTGTATCTAGTACCTGTAGTTGGTAGAGTCTCTGTACCTAGTACCTGTAGTTGGTAGAGTCTCTGTACCTAGTACCTGTAGTTGGTAGAGTGTCTGTCTCTGGTACCTGTAGTTGGTAGAGTCGCTGTCTCTGGTACCTGTAGTTGGTAGAGTCTCTGGTACCTGTAGTTGGTAGAGTCTCTGTCTCTGGTACATGTAGTTGGTAGAGTCCCTGTGTCTGGTACCTGTAGTTGGTAGAGTCTCTGTCTCTGGTACCTGTAGTTGGTAGAGTCTCTGGTACCTGTAGTTGGTAGAGTCTCTGTATCTAGTACCTGTAGTTGGTAGAGTCTCTGGTACCTGTAGTCGGTAGAGTCTCTGGTACCTGTAGTTGGTAGAGTCTCTGTATCTAGTACCTGTAGTTGGAGTCCTAGTACCTGTAGTTGGTAGAGTCTCTGTACCTAGTACCTGTAGTTGGTAGAGTGTCTGTCTCTGGTACCTGTAGTTGGTAGAGTTTCTGTCTCTGATACCTGTAGTTGGTAGAGTCTCTGGTACCTGTAGTTGGTAGAGTCTCTGTCTCTGGTACCTGTAGTTGGTAGAGTCTATGGTACCTGTAGTTGGTAGAGTCTCTGTATCTAGTACCTGTACTTGGTAGAGTTTCTGTCTCTGGTACCTGTAGTTGGTAGAGTCGCTGTCTCTGGTACCTGTAGTTGGTAGAGTCTCTGTATCTAGTACCTGTACTTGGTAGAGTTTCTGTCTCTGGTACCTGTAGTTGGTAGAGTCGCTGTCTCTGGTACCTGTAGTTGGTAGAGTCTCTGGTACCTGTAGTTGGTAGAGTCTCTGTATCTAGTACCTGTAGTTGGTAGAGTCTCTGTTACCTATAGTTGGTAGAGTCTCTGTCTCTGGTACCTGTAGTTGGTCGAGTTTCTGTCTCTGCACCTGTAGTTGGTAGAGGTCTCTGGTACCTGTAGTTGGTAGAGTCTCTGTATCTAGTACCTGTAGTTGGTAGAGTCTCTGGTACCTGTAGTTGGTAGAGTCTCTGTATCTAGTACTTGTAGTTGGTAGAGTCTCTGGTACCTGTAGTTGGTAGAGTCTCTGGTACCTGTAGTTGGTAGAGTCTATGGTACCTGTAGTTGGTAGAGTCTCTGTATCTAGTACCTGTACTTGGTAGAGTTTCTGTCTCTGGTACCTGTAGTTGGTAGAGTCGCTGTCTCTGGTACCTGTAGTTGGTAGAGTCTCTGTATCTAGTACCTGTACTTGGTAGAGTTTCTGTCTCTGGTACCTGTAGTTGGTAGAGTCGCTGTCTCTGGTACCTGTAGTTGGTAGAGTCTCTGGTACCTGTAGTTGGTAGAGTCTCTGTATCTAGTACCTGTAGTTGGTAGAGTCTCTGTTACCTATAGTTGGTAGAGTCTCTGTCTCTGGTACCTGTAGTTGGTCGAGTTTCTGTCTCTGCACCTGTAGTTGGTAGAGTCTCTGGTACCTGTAGTTGGTAGAGTCTCTGTATCTAGTACCTGTAGTTGGTAGAGTCTCTGGTACCTGTAGTTGGTAGAGTCTCTGTATCTAGTACCTGTAGTTGGTAGAGTCTCTGGTACCTGTAGTTGGTAGAGTCTCTGGTACCTGTAGTTGGTAGAGTCTCTGGTACCTGTAGTTGGTAGAGTCTCTGTCTCTGGTACCTGTAGTTGGTAGAGTCTTTGTCTCTGGTACATGTAGTTGGTAGAGTCTCTGTCTCTGGTACCTGTAGTTGGTATAGTCTCTGTATCTAGTACCTGTAGTTGGTAGAGTCTCTGTACCTAGTACCTGTAGTTGGTAGAGTGTCTGTCTCTGGTACCTGTAGTTGGTAGAGTCTCTGTATCTAGTACCTGTAGTTCGTAGAGTCCCTGTGTCTGGTACCTGTAGTTAGTAGAGTCACTGTCTCTGGTACCTGTAGTTGGTAGAGTCTCTGGTACCTGTAGTTGGTAGAGTCTCTGTTTCTGGTACATGTAGTTGGTAGAGTCCCTGTGTCTGGTACCTGTAGTTGGTAGAGTCTCTGTCTCTGGTACCTGTAGTTGGTAGAGTATCTGGTACCTGTAGTTGGTAGAGTCTCTGTATCTAGTACCTGTAGTTGGTAGAGTCTCTGGTACCTGTAGTTGGTAGAGTCTCTGTATCTAGTACATGTAGTTGGTAGAGTCTCTGTACCTAGTACCTGTAGTTGGTAGAGTCTCTGTACCTAGTACCTGTAGTTGGTAGAGTGTCTGTCTCTGGTACCTGTAGTTAGTAGAGTCTCTGTATCTAGTAATTGTAGTTGGTAGAGTATCTGTCTCTGGTACCTGTAGTTGGTAGAGTCTCTGTCTCTGGTACCTGTAGTTGTTAGAGTCTCTGTCTCTGGTACCTGTAGTTGTACCAACCTGTAGTTGGTAGAGTCCCTGTAGGAGAGTTTTCCCAGAGCGGGTCACCTCCTCCAGAAGGTTCTCTCTGCGGATCACGTTCAGAACCTCAGCCAGGAACAGGTTCTTAGATGGGTCGCCCATCCACGTGTTAAAGATACGGTAGGCCTGGGAAAGAAACACACACACACATACACAGACACACACAGACAAAATAAGGTTATACATTGCATGTGTGTATGTTTGCATGTGTGTGTCCTGTGTGTTCCTTATACGCCTATGTGTGTGTGTGTGTGTGTGTGCCTGCATGTGTACAGGGCATCTTGTGTGAATGTGCGTATTATATGCCTGTGTGTCCTGTGTGTGTGTGTTACCTTGTCTGCCTGCAGCTCGTCTTTATGGTAAAAGCCTCCAGTGAGCATCTTCTTGCTGAAGGAGACGATGTCAGCAGGGTCGTCCATTCCCCAGTGTTCATGAGCCCAGAACTTCCCTGTAGCACCGCCACCTGTCTGCACCTCATCCACATGGAACGCACTGCCATGCTGAGAGAGGGAGGAAGAGGGGTGAGGGGAGGATGGATAGGGGAGGGGGGAGGGATAGGTGAGGGGAGGAGGGTATAGAGGAGGGGGAGGGGGATATAGGAGGGATAGGGGAGGGGGGAGGGAGGGGAGGGGAGGGGAGGAGGGATAGAGGAGGGATAGGGGAGGGGGGAGGGATATGGGGAGGGGAGGGGGGAGGGATAGGGGAGGGATAGAGGAGGGATAGGGGAGGGGGGAGGGGAGGAGGGATAGAGGAGGGATAGGGGAGGGGAGGAGGGATAGGGGAGGGGAGGAGGGATAGAGGAGAGATAGGGGGGAGGGATAGAGGAGGGATAGAGGAGGGGAGGAGGGATAGAGGAGGGATAGGGGAGGGGAGGAGGGATAGAGGAGGGATAGGGGAGGGGAGGAGGGATAGAGGAGGGATAGGGGAGGGGGGAGGGGGAGGGGGGAGGTATAGGGGAGACGGGGAGGGATGTTTTAATCTTTCTATGATTGATGGATGGATTGATTGACTGATTTTATTTCAGTGTCACCTTGTGTATGACTCTAACCCCCTCCCTCCTTCTCCAGCCTACCTTGTGTATAACCCTCCCTCCCTCTCCAGCCTACCTTGTGTATAACCCTCCCTCCCCAGCCTACCTTGTGTATGACTCTAACCCCCTCCCTCCCTCTCCAGCCTACCTTGTGTATGACTCTCCCCCCTCCCTCCCTCCCTCCCTCCCTCCCTCCCTCCCTCCCTCCCTCCCTCCCTCCCTCTCCAGCCTACCTTGCGTGCGATGTTCCGTAGCTTCTTGAAGAAGTCAGGTGTTGCGTGGTTGTCTCCTCCTTCAGCCTGGATGGGTTCAATCACTATCCCAGCCACCGGCCGGCCCTTCTGACGCCACTGGACTATCAGGTCCTCTACCTGGGACATACACAGATAACACAGAGCTACAGGGTTAACACACAGATACGGGGTTAACACACAGATACGGGGTTAACACACAGATACGGGGTTAACACACAGATACGGGGTTAACACACAGATACGGGGTTAACACACAGCTACGGGGTTAACGCACAGATACGGGGTTAACGCACAGATACGGGGTTAACGCACAGATATGGGGTTAACGCACAGCTACGGGGTTAACGCACAGCTACGGGGTTAACACACAGATACGGGGTTAACACACAGATACAGGGTTAACACACAGATACGGGGTTAACACACAGATACGGGGTTAACACACAGATACGGGGTTAACGCACAGATACGGGGTTAACGCACAGATATGGGGTTAACGCACAGCTACGGGGTTAACGCACAGCTACGGGGTTAACACACAGATACGGGGTTAACACACAGATACGGGGTTAACACACAGATACGGGGTTAACACACAGATACGGGGTTAACACACAGATACGGGGTTAACACACAGATACAGGGTTAACACACACACACAAACAGGGTTAACACACACACAATCTCGGTAACCCGTTTCCCGCCCAAACCCAGTCCCTTTTCCTGGGATAAATAATTCCAAGAAACCGGTAAATTATAATAAATTATTTATATGAACAGCGTGACGTGAAATGGAACTGTTAAATTATATGCAATGTCTAAATCTTTCTTCGATATGGTTCTCTCTGCTCTGCTATCTGCATGGTCAATAATCAACGCTCAGGGTGTGTGTGTGTCAACCATATACGCATCAGCAACCACAGCTAATGAAGTCACTGAAACCCTTAACAAAGAGTTAGTCTGTTTTGGAATCGGTGGCCTGTAATAAACTGGTCCTGAACATCTCTAAAACTAAGAGCATTGTATTTGGTACAAATTGTTCCCTAAGTTCTAGACCTCAGCTGAATCTGGTAATGAATGGTGTGGCTGTTGAACAAGTTGAGGAGACTAAATTACTTTGCGTTACCTTAGATGGTAAACTGTCACGGTCAAAACATATAGATTCAGTGGTTGTAAAGATGGGGAGAGTTCTGTCCGTAATAAAGAGATGCTCTGCTTTTTTGACTCCACACTCCACAAAGCAAGTCCTGCAGGCTCTAGTTTTGTCTTGATTATTGTCCAGTGATATGGTCAAGTGCTGCAAAGAAAGACCTAGTTAAGCTGCAGCTGGCCCAGAACAGAGCGGCACGTCTTGCTCTTCATTGTAATCAGAAGGCTAATATTAATACTATGCATGCCAGTCTCTATTGGCTAAGAGTTGAGGAAAGACTGACTGCATCACTTCTTCTTTTGATAAGAAACAATGTGTTGAAAATCCCAAATTGTTTGCATGGTCAACTTAAACACAGCTCTGACACTTACCCCACCAGACATGCCACCAGGGTTCTTTTCACAGTCCCCAAATCCATAACAAATTCAAGCAAGCGTACAGTATTATATAGAGCCATTATTGCATGGAACTCCGTTCCATCACATATTGCTCAAATGAACAGCAAACCTGGTTTCAAAAAACAGATAAAGCAACGGCACAACGCCTCTCACCTATTTGACCTAGATAGTTTGTGTGTATGTATTGATATGTAGGCTACGTGTGCCATTTTTTAATTGATGTAGTTCTGTCAATGAGCTGTTCTTGTCTATTAATGTTGTAGCTGCTGCTTTCGCAAGTAGCTGCTGCTTTCGCAACAGCTAATGGGGATCCTAATAAAATACAAAAAATACCAAAACGAAGCCAAATACAAAACTGACCTGCTGATAATCCCGTCTAAGGAATTCAGCGTGTTTGAAGCAACAAACAAGTCCAAATGCCTGCAGCACCAGTTTGAGGCAGGTCAGTTTTGTATTTGGCCTCGTTTTGGTATTTTGTATTTACATTTTATTAGGATCCCCATTAGCTGTTCCTGGTTTGAGGCACTTGCCACGATCCAGGCCACCTCCGTGGAGGCTGAGAGAGCCTTGTCAGTCTGTGGCCAATTTGTGACCAAGATCAGAAACCAGGAAGCATTGACGCACTGTGCTTTTTGAGAGGCCACAGGTACAGCCTATAGCCTATATGCACATGTTTTAGTTTGTTCATTTGTTTGCTACAGGGTAGGCCCACCAGGTTGTTTTACGTAGCCTATATCCTACGTTTATGTGTAGAATGCTTTTCTACATTTGTTTGGCCGGGTCTTGAGAATCAGTCAGCTACAATTATAGTTACTCTGTTTCTGACCGAGTCTGTTTTTCATGTCTTTTAATTAACTCAAATTTGAACATGGAAGTTTAATGAAAATGTTTGTTTGTTTTTCTCTTGAGTAAAAGTAATAATGAAAACAAGAATTACTTGTTTATTACATTTTATTATATAGTCTACGTTTGTGTAGCCAGAAGGCTCACGTTTCATTATTGTATGCTAAATGACTAAATACACATTTTAAAACAAAACCTTGAGAGATTATCATTGACTTTATTGCTAGAAATAGGCATACCATTGATTTTTAGGCTAACGAATGCTAACAACTGATAACGAATGCAATAAGTAAACGTTTGCTTTTATGTAAAATATAGCCAACCTTAGAATGGCGCATTATTCACAGTGGGTTTAGCTACGCGGGAAATTGATCAACCACAGTGCTATCCATGGTACTGAATCTTCACTACAGCTCATCTGTTTGATTAGCGGAGAATCAGATATGTTCCCTCTGACAAAATCACCACAATAAGCGAAGTAAAAACAGCCACAACCTTCCCAGATTCCCCTGATAGACAGGTTCAAGGGGAGAGAAAAGAACCCAGCTGCATCTTTCAGTCAAAGGACCCAGCTGCATCTTTCAGTCAAAGGACCCAGCTGCATCTTTCAGTCAAAGGACCCAGCAGCATCTTTCAGTCAAAGGACCCAGCTGCATCTTTCAGTCAAAGGACCCAGCTGCATCTTTCAGTCAAAGTACCCAGCTGCATCTTTCAGTCAAAGGACCCAGCTGCATCTTTTAGTCAAAGTACCCAGCAGCATCTTTCAGTCAAAGGACCCAGCTGCATCTTTCAGTCAAAGGTAGGCTGAAACTAATGTAACTTTCACTAGACTGTAATAACCTCATCATATTTTACCAGACGGCCAACAGTGCTTCATAGGCCTACATTAAAACTAGGCAAAATAGTGTGGTGACTTAGAACTTTGAGATTGATTAAATTGCAACAAATACAACAAGAAACCATTACATTCATCTGTCTATTTCTCCATTTACAGTGGCATAATCGTCAGATTTTTTTTGCTGGTATTATATGCTTTTAAATAGCACTTCCAGTTTGAACGGGAATACCGGGGAAATTGGTAGATTCTCAGGAAAATATTAAATCCTAACACACACACACACCTCCTCCAGGCAGCGGGCCTCCTCCTGTGCGTTCTCCCGTGTGAACTCCTCCAGAGGGTACTTCAGTTTAGGGAAGGGAGCGATCGGCCAATCAAATGAAGGCACATCCAGCTTGTGGATGGCTTTGGAGTGCGTCGTTGCCAAGCAACCTGAAAACAGATCAGACATCGTAAGTTGTTGTTTTTAAGGAGTGGGGCAGTCCTACCTTCGTTCAAGCAACCTGATCTCGTGAGCTTACATTCTGTTTCTGTCTTCTTGGGTATGACGCTACAAGCTTAGCACACCTGTATTTGGGGAGTTTCTCCCATTCTTCTACGCAGATCATCTCAAGCTCTGGCAGGTTGGATGGGGAGCATCGCTGCATAGCTATTTTCAGGTCCTGACTAGTCTCCCAGTCCCTGCGCTGAAAAACATCCCCCCAGCATGATGCTGCCACCACGCTTCACCGTAGGGATGGTGCCAGGTTTCCTCCAGACGTGATGCTTGGCATTCAGGCCAAAGTGTTCAATCTTGGTTTCATCAGACCACTTGTTTCTCATGGTCTGAGAGTCTTTAGGTGCCTTTTGGCAAACTCCAAGCGGCCTGTCATGTACCTTTTACCGAGGAGTGGCTTCCGTCTGCCCACTCTACCATAAAGGCCTGATTGGTGGAGTGCTGCAGAGATGGTTGTCCTTCTAGAAGGTTTTCCGATATCCACAGAGGAACTCTGGAGCTCTGTCAGAGTGACCATCAGGTTCTCGGTCACCTCCCTGACCAAGGCCCTTTTCCCCCGATTTCTTAGTTTAGCCGGGCGGCCAGCTCTAGGAAGAGTCTTGGTGGTTCCAAACTTCTTCCATTTAGGAATTATGGAGGCCACTGTGTTCGTGGGGACCTTCAATGCTGCAGACATTTTTTGGTACCCTTCCCCAGAGCTGTGCCTCGACACAATCCTGTCTCGGAGCTCTACGGACAATTCCTACGACCTCAACTGTGGGACCTTACGTAGACAGGTGTGTGCCTTACCAAATCATGTCAATTTATCACAGGTGGACTCCGAGGCATTTCAGGAGCCTGTTGATGTCCTTGGGTTTGAATGGGTCTCGATAGAGCAGGTAGAGGAAAGCTTGATACATGGTGTAAGAGTCTTTTTCATCTTGTAAGTGACATTTCTGTGCAAAAGCCTGTCAGAACACTTCTGCTTTGTCCCGTGCAGTGATGTGTGCTATGTCGTGGTGTATGATGACAGGGATATCAGAGTTAGCAGCTCTTCCAGAAAGGGAGTTGACAAAGCCTCCACCATCTCTTGCTGATTAGGGTGTTATCAGTGAGTTCCTCTGTGAGTTTGATATCATGATAGCTTGCTTCTCAGCCTGGTCTGGCCAGGGCAAACTTCTGCTTGTTGGCGGCAGTTTTATTTAGCCGTTGGAAAAAAAGGCGACGATTTTTTCCGTCCTTGCTGCTCTCCTGCACTTTTCGTCAAAACATACTTTGTCCCCAGGCTTTCTGGTGACAGTTTCGCTGGGGATGAATTGCTCCCATGGCATCATGGGTCATGTCAGTGATCTTTTCGTCAAAACATACTTTGTCCACAGGCTTTCTGGTGACAGTTCTGCTGGGGATTAATTGCGCCATGGCATCATGGGTGATGTCAGTGATCTTTTCGTCAAAACATACTTTGTCCCCGGGCTTTCTGGTGACAGTTCTGCTTGGGATAAAATGCTCCATGGCATCATGGGTGATGTCAGTGATCTTTTCGTCAAAACATACTTTGTCCCCAGGCTTGGTCTCCTCTGGTTGGAGTAACCACAATCTGTTGTAGGCCTAAGCAGCTTGCAAGCTGTCGGGCCCGGCAACCAGCATGACAGTTGTTCAGCTATCCAGACAGTCTTCATGGTGGACATTGAAGTCGCCCACCACCATGACAGTTGTTCAGCTACCCAGACAGTCTTCATGGTGGACATTGAAGTCGCCCGCCACCATGACAGAATGTGCACCAAACTCTGTCATTTTGGGTTTCAGTGTCTAGGTCTATAAAACAGCTCCTATGAGGAGCTTCTGGGAGTGTAAGGTGACTGGAAGCCATGTCAGTTCCATGTCTTTTGGGTCTTTTTGGGTCTCATGGTGGATGGTGATTCCTTGCAAGCAATACACTGCAATGCCACCACCTGACGACGCAATTCTGTCTCGTCGGCAGCACATGGTGCATCCTGGTATTGCGATGCAGTCAGCTCCGTCCTTTACAGTTGAGTCCAGGAATGCGTCCACCACGATGACGACGGTAGGTTCTTTCTCCTTAGGCTAGCTCTCCGATGTTTGATCTTAGACCACGGATGTTGACCTCCATGATTCGTAGTTCTTTATCTCGTAGTACAGTGAGTGACAAAGAAATGATCAGTCTATAATTTTAATGGTAGGTTTATTTGAACAGTGAGAGACAGAATAACAACAAGAAAATCCATAAAAACGCATGTTAAAAATTTTTATAAATAGATTTACATTTTAATGAGGGAAATAAGTATTTGACACCCTCTCAATCAGAAAGATTTCTGGCTCCCAGGTGTCTTTTATACAGGTAACGAGCTGAGATTAGGAGCACACTCTTAAAGGGATTGCTCCTAATCTCAGCTTGTTACCTGTATAAAAGACACCTGGGAGCCAGAAGCAATCAATCAGATTCCAAACTCTCCACCATGGCCAAGTCCAAAGAGCTCTCCAACGATGTCAGGGACAAGATTGTAGACCTACACAAGGCTGGAATGGGCTACAAGACCATCGCCAAGCAGCTTGGTGAGAAGGTGACAACAGTTGGTGCGATTATTCGCAAATGGAAGAAACACAAAATAACTGTCAATCTCCCTCGGCCTGGGGCTCCATGTAAGATCTTACCTCATGGAGTTGCATTGATCATGAGAACGGTGAGGAATCAACCCAGAACTACACGGGAGGATCTTGTCAATGATCTCAATGCAGCTGGGACCATAGTCACCAAGAAAACAATTGGTAACACACTACGCCGTGAAGGACTGAAATCCTGCAGCGCCCGCAAGGTCCCCCTGCTCAAGAAAGCACATATACAGGCCCGTCTGAAGTTTGCCAATGAACATCTGAATGATTCAGAGGAGAACTGGGTGAAAGTGCTGTGGTCAGATGAGACCAAAATCAAGGTCTTTGGCATCAACTCAACTCGCCGTGTTTGGAGGAGGAGGAATGCTGCCTATGACCCAAAGAACACCATCCCCACCGTCAAACATGGAGGTGTAAACATTATGCATTGGGGGTGTTTTTCTGCTAAGGGGACAGGACAACTTCACTGCATCAAAGGGACGATGGACGGGGCCATGTACCGTCAAATCTTGGGTGAGAACCTCCTTCCCTCAGCCAGGGCATTGAACATGGGTCGTGGATGGTGTTACGGATACAGGTATCCTGTGTCTTTTTGTGTTTTTCCTCTCCTTCTACCCTAATCACAGGTGTCCTGTATGTTCCTGATTGGTGGTCGTTGGGGTGTCTGCTGATTGCTGAGGTGGACCAATCAGTGGACATTCCTCTGCATTGCACCACCTGTTTCTGGTTTTTCAATCACACATCCCATTGTTTAAAAGCCGGTCAGTTGTGTTTGTAGAGGGAGACAATTTTCCGTATGTGAGTATGGATACTGTGGTGTCCTGTGTTTTGTGTACTCACTCATTTGCTGGTTACTCTGTTTGGTAACTTTGTTGTGTGTTTCTGGGAAAAGGGGAATTTAAGCAAGTTGCCCTTGGGCATACATTACCCATAGGAAGAAAACTGTCTAAAAACACTAGTTAGACCTGAGCGGACCACCCACTGTAATTTTTGTATGATTAGCAGTAGCTTAGCGGTTCTTGAGGCAGGCAAGATCAGTTTAGTTGTTTTTTACACTATTGTTTCATTTCTTGGGTCCTGCTCAGCCCTTTTTCCCAAACCTTTACCGTGTGTTCAAAATAAACATTTTATGTTTGACGGTAGTTTATGGTTGTCGTGTAGTTTTTGTTCTCCCTGTTTCCATGTCACGATTCTAATTTGCATGAATTATGTTACGGGTCTCTTGTCCATCCACCCTAGACGTTTAAAGCCACGGGGTTCGTAACAGATGGGTATTCCAGCATGACAATGACCCAAAACACACGGCCAAGGCAACAAAGGAGTGGCTCAAGAAGAAGCACATTAAGGTCCTGGAGTGGCCTAGCCAGTCTCCAGACCTTAATCCCATAGAAAATCTGTGGAGGGAGCTGAAGGTTCGAGTTGCCAAACGTCAGGCTCGAAACCTTAATGACTTGGAGAAGATCTGCAAAGAGGAGTGGGACAAAATCCCTCCTGAGATGTGTGCAAACCTGGTGGCCAACTACAAGAAACGTCTGACCTCTGTGATTGCCAACAAGGGTTTTGCCACCAAGTACTAAGTCATGTTTTGCAGTGGGGTCAAATACTTATTTCCCTAATTAAAATGCAACTCAATTTATAACATTTTTTATATGCATTTTTCTGGATTTTTTTGTTGTTATTCTGTCTCTCACTGTTCAAATACACCTACCATTAAAATTATAGACTGATCATTTCTTTGTCAGTGGGCAAACATACAAAATCAGCAGGGGATCAAATACTTTTTTCCCTCACTGTAGTTATGTTATTTTACTTTCATTCAACAATAAGATGTGTAATAATATTTAACCTGACTGACCCATTGTTCTGCCATGAAATCCACCCATAAACGACAGGATGCTGAGGTCCGGACAGCCAGGGCTCTGAGAGAGAGAGAGGAGGGAGAGTGGAGAGAGAGAGGGAACGAAGGAGAGGGGAGAGAGATGGAGAGAGAACGAGAAGAGGAGGGAGAGACGGAGAGAGGGAGAACAAGGGAGAAGGAGGGAGGGAGAGCAAGAATTAGAGCATGAGAGTGTTTTTAGTGTGTGTACGTGGCTACTAAAGAATAGGTGAGAGGAACGTGATGATGATGAACACCAGAACACAGGTCATGGCCTGCTCTGACTCTCTGCACCTCCCTCTCCCTCCCTCACACACGCACACAACCACACAGACATACACACATACAGTGCCTTGCAAAAGTATTCATCCCCCTTGGCGTTTTTTCCTATTTTGTTGCATTACAACCTGTAATTTAAATGGATTTTTATTTGGATTTCATGTAATGGACATACACAAAATAGTCCAAATTGGTGAAGTGAAATGAAAAAAATAACTTGTTTCAAAAAATTCTAAAAAATAAATAACGGAAAAGTGGTGCGTGCATATTTATTCACTCCCTTTGCTATGAAGCCCCTAAATAAGATCTGGTGCAACCAATTACCTTCAGAAGTCACATAATTAGTTAAATAAAGTCCACCTATGTGCAATCTAAGTGTTACATGATCTGTCACATGATCTCAGTATATAGACACCTGTTCTGAAAGGCCCCAGAGTCTGCAACACCACTAAGCAGGGGGCACCACCAAGCAAGCTGTCACGGATTCTGCCAAGGCTGCTCCTCCTCCTTGCTCGGGCAGGCTTCGGCGTTCGTCGTCCCCGGAGTACTAGCTACCACCGTTAGATATTTCGAGGTTTGATTGGTTTGGTCTGTCTGTTGCACCTGTGTCCGTTTGTGTCTGATTTTGTGTCCTATAAGTTTCTGGCTTTGTGTTTGTGTGTTATTTTCCGCCTGTCCGTTGGTGTCATCCGTGCAGTACTCTGGACTTTGTTTATTGTGACGCACTGTGTTTGCGTTGTCGCTCGCCTCCTTGTTTGAGGTCCTTTATTTTGTTTTGTTTATACAGTTCAGTAAAGTCTTGTTTGACTGAGCCCATGCGTCCTGCGTCTGACTCCTCAACCACATCCACATCAACACTGACAGAATAACACACCTTATGGAGTCAGCAGGAGCAGCGGCGGCACCCAAGTCGCTGGAGGAACGGATCAGCGATCAAGACACCATGATCCGGCAACTTGGGGTCGCCATGAACGAGGTGTCCAACACTCTGCGCCGTTTGGTCACCGGAGAGGTGCCCACACCTTCGCACACCTTACCATCACCATCGGCCAGTCCTCCTCTCCCAGCACCGGAACCCAGTGGCATTCGGCTCTCGCTCCCGAGGGCATATGATGGTTCCGCAGCCGGGTGTCAGGGGTTCCTCCTGCAGGTGGAACTCTACCTGGCCACCATACACCCGGCGCCCTCGGGATACGAGAGCGTCTCCGCCCTCATCTCCTGTCTCTCCGGCAAGGCGTTGGAGTGGGCCAACGCCGAATGGAGGGGAATAGACGCCGCCACCATCACCTACGCGGAGTTCTCCCGCCGCTTCAGGACAGTGTTCGATCATCCACCTGAGGGGAAGGCGGCGGGGGAGCGTCTGTTCCACCTCCGACAGGGGAAGAGGAGTGCACAGGAGTTCGCCCTGGAGTTCCGGACTCTAGCGGCGGATTCGGGGTGGAATGAGAGGGCCCTCATCGACCACTATCGGAGCAGCCTACGAGAGGACGTTCGTCGTGAGCTGGCCTGCAGGGACACCAACCTATCCTTCGACCAGTTGGTGGACATTTCCATCCGTCTCGACACCCTGGTGGCTACCCGCGGACGTCCCGAATGGGGGTCGTCCATTCCACCCTCCAGCACCCCCGAGCCGATTCCCATGGAGCTCGGAGGTGCTGGCGCTAGGGAGAGGAGGAGAGAGAACCCGAGGGGGGCCGTCCCCTGCACCAACTGTGGCCGTGGAGGGCACACTGCGGCTAGGTGCTGGGGAGGGTCTCCTGGGAGAGGGGACAACAGGTCACGCACTGGGGAGTCATTTCAGGTGAGTAGGTGCCCCACTTACCCAGAGCTCTCTGTTGGTCACCTGTGTATACCTGTGAGATTTCCACAGGTGGCACCTCATTCCCAGCATAAGGCGCTAGTCGATTCAGGCGCAGCTGGGAATTTTGTTGATCGTGAGTTTTGTTCTAGGTTAGGAATTCCCCTTCGGCCGGTGGAAGCCCCCTTCCCTGTCCATGCCCTAGACAGCCGGCCGCTGGGGTCGGGGTTGATTAGAGAAGTCACAGCACCACTTAAGATGACGACGCAGGGGGGTCATGAGGAGATCATTCAGTTTTATCTGATCGACTCTCCTGCGTATCCCGTGGTGCTGGGGCTTCCCTGGTTAAGCGCCCATGATCCTACCATTGCGTGGCAACAGAGGGCTCTTATGGAGTGGTCTGCCCAGTGTGTAGGGAGATGTCTAGGTGTTTCCTTAGGGCCGACCTCGGTGGAGAGTCCGAACCAAGTGCCCGCAATGCGCATTCCCCCTGAATATGAGGATTTAGCACTTGTGTTCAGCAAGACTAGGGCAACACGGTTGCCACCTCATAGACAGGGGGATTGTGCGATAGATCTCCAAACAGGAGCGGCACTTCCGCGGAGCCGTGTGTATCCCCTGTCTCAAGAGGAGACAGCGGCTATGGAGACTTACATAGCCGAGTCCTTGGAACAGGGATACATACGGTCCTCCACTTCCCCGGTTTCCTCGAGTGTCTTCTTTGTGAAGAAGAAGGATGGGGGTTTGCACCCGTGTATTGATTACCGTAGTCTCAATCAGATCACGGTTAAGTACAGTTATCCTCTTCCTCTGATTGCGACTATGACTGAATCGTTATGCGGAGCGCGGTTCTTCACAAAGTTGGATCTCAGGAGCGCGTACAATCTGGTGCGCATTAGGGAGGGGGATGAATGGAAAACATTTAGCACCACCTCGGGTCATTACGAGTATCTCGTCATGCCATACGGGTTAATGAATGCTCCTTCAGTCTTCCAATCCTTTGTGGACGAGATTTTCAGGGACATGCATGGGCAGGGTGTGGTAGTGTACATCGACGGCATCCTAGTGTACTCTTCTACACGAGCCGAGCATGTAGCCCTGGTGCGCCGAGTGTTGAGGAGGCTGTTGGAGCATGACCTGTATGTCAAGGCAGAGAAATGCTTGTTTTTCCAGGAGTCCATCTCCTTTTTGGGTTATCGATTGTCCGCGTCTGGTGTGAAGATAGAGGTTGACCGTGTGTCTGCCGTGCGTAATTGGCAAACTCCAACCACTGTAAAAGAGGTGCAGCAGTTTTGGGGTTTTGCTAATTACCACCGGAGGTTTATCCGGGGCTTTGGACAGGTGGCAGCTCCCATTACGTCCCTGCTGAAGGGGGGCCCGGTGCGTTTGCAGTGGTCAGCTGAAGCGGACAGGGCATTTGTTAAACTGAAGAACCTGTTCACTTCGGCCCCGGTGCTGGCGCATCCGGACCCCGCTTTACCATTCCAAGTTGAGGTAGACGCGTCAGAGGCCAGTATTGGGGCAGTTCTGTCGCAACGGTCTGGCACGCCACCTAAACTCCGCCCCTGTGCGTTCTATTCTAAGAAGCTCAGCCCGGCGGAGCGTAATTATGACGTAGGGGACAGGGAGCTGTTAGCCGTGGTTCAGGCCTTAAAGGTGTGGAGGCATTGGCTTGAGGGGGCTCAACACCCTTTCCTCATTCTGACTGACCACCGTAACCTGGAGTACATCCGGGCAGCTAGGAGATTAAACCCTCGTCAGGCTAGGTGGAACATGTTCCTGACCCGGTTTGTTTTTAAGATCACGTACATCCCAGGGTCCCAGAACGGTAAGGCAGACGCCCTGTCCCGGCGGTATGACACAGAGGAGAGGTCCATTGAGCCTACTCCCATACTGCCGGAGTCTTGTCTGGTGGCTCCGGTGGTGTGGGAGGTCGATTCGGAGATCGAGCGGGCGTTACGTACCGACCCTACTCCCCCAGAGTGTCCTGTGGGGCGGACGTACGTTCCGCTCGAGGTTCGTGATCGCCTTATTTATTGGGCTCATACATCACCCTCCTCTGGACATCCAGGTATTGGCCGGACAGTGCACTGCCTTAGCGTGAAATACTGGTGGCCAACGTTAGCTAGGGATGTGAGGGTTTATGTCTCCTCCTGCTCGGTGTGCGCCCAGTGTAAGGCGCCTAGACACCTGCCCAGGGGAAAGTTACATCCCCTGCCCGTTCCACAACGACCATGGTCCCACCTCTCGGTGGATTTTGTGACCGACCTTCCTCCTCCCAGGGGAATACCACCATTTTGGTCGTTGTGGATCGGTTTTCCAAGGCCTGTCGTCTCCTCCCAATGCCGGGTCTCCCTACTGCCCTACAGACCGCTGAGGCCCTATTTACCCACGTTTTCCGGCACTATGGGGTTCCCGAGGATATAGTGTCTGACCGAGGTCCCCAGTTCACCTCCAGAGTCTGGGGGGCGTTCATGGAACGCTTGGGGGTCTCGGTGAGCCTTACCTCGGGTTACCACCCAGAGAGCAATGGGCAGGTAGAACGAGTCAACCAGGATGTGGGTAGGTTTCTGAGGTCCTACTGCCAGGGCCGGCCGGAGGAGTGATCAAGGTATATCCCCTGGGCAGAGATGGCACAGAACTCTCTCCGCCACTCCTCCACCAATCTAACCCCTTTCCAGTGTGTGTTAGGGTATCAGCCGGTTCTGGCACCATGGCACCAGAGCCAGATCGAGGCTCCTGCGGTGGATGAGTGGATTCGGCGCTCGGAGGAGACGTGGGACGCTGCACATGTCCATCTGCAGCGGGCCATCCGTCGACAGAAGGCGAGCGCCGATCGCCACCGCAGTGAGGGACCGGTGTACGCACCGGGAGATCGAGTCTGGCTCTCGACTCGAAACCTGCCCCTCCGCCTGCCCTGCCGGAAGCTGGGTCGGCGGTTTGTGGGGCCTTTTAAAGTCCTGAGGAGATTGAACAAGGTGTGTTACAGGTTACAACTGCCTATTGATTATAAGAATATTAACCCCTCGTTCCATGTGTCTCTTCTCAGGCCGGTGGTAGCTGGTCCACTCCAGGAAGGTGAGATACGGGAGACTCCTCCGCCCCCACTGGACATCGAGGGAGCTCCGGCGTACACGGTCAGGACCATCTTGGACTCGAGACGTCGGATGGGGGGTCTCCAGTATCTCGTGGAGTGGGAGGGGTACGGCCCGGAGGAACGGTGCTGGGTGCCTAGGAGGGATATCCTAGATCCATCCCTCCTGACTGAGTTCCACCGTGGTCATCCCACGCGCCCGGCTCCGCGTCCTCCTGGTCGTCCCCGAGGCCGGGGTCGGCGCACGGCTGGAGCCGCGCGTCAAGGGGGGGGGTACTGTCACGGATTCTGCCGAGGCTGCTCCTCCTCCTTGCTCGGGCAGGCTTCGGCGTTCGTCGTCCCCGGAGTACTAGCTACCACCGTTAGATATTTCGATGTTTGATTGGTTTGGTCTGTCTGTTGCACCTGTGTCCGTTTGTGTCTGATTTTGTGTCCTATAAGTTTCCGGCTTTGTGTTTGTGTGTTTGTGTGTTATTTTCCGCCTGTCCGTTGGTGTCACCCGTGCAGTACTCTGGACTTTGTTTATTGTGACGCACTGTGTTTGCGTTGTCGCTTGCCTCCTTGTTTGAGGTCCTTTATTTTGTTTTGTTTATACAGTTCAGTAAAGTCTTGTTTGACTGAGCCCATGCGTCCTGCGTCTGACTCCTCAACCACATCCACATCAACACTGACACAAGCGGCACCATGAAGACCAAGGAGCTCTCCAAACAGGTCAGGGACAAAGTTGTGGAGAAGTACAGATCAGGGTTGGGTTATAAAAAAATATCAGAAACTTTGAACATCCCACGGAGCACAATGAAATCCATTATTAAAAAATGGAAAGAATATGGCACCACAACAAACCTGCCAAGAGAGGGCCGCCCACCAAAACTCACAGACCAGGCAAGGAGGGCATTAATCAGAGAGACAACAAAGAGACCAAAGATAACCTTGAAGGATCTGTCCATTGGACCACTTTAAGCCGTACACTCCACAGAGCTGGGCTTTACGGAAGAGTGGCCAGAAAGAAGCCATTGCTTAAAGAAAAAAATAAGCAAACACGTTTGGTGTTCGCCAAAAGGCATGTGGGAGACTCCCCAAACATATGGAAGAGGGTACTCTGGTCAGATGAGACTAAAATTGAGCTTTTTGGCCATCAAGGACAACGCTATGTCTGGAGCAAACCCAACACCTCTCATCACCCCAAGAACAGCATCCCCACAGTGAAGCATGGTGGTGTCAGCATCATGCTGTGGGGATGTTTTTCATTGGCAGGGACTGGGAAACTGGTCAGAATTGAAGGATGGCGCTAAATACAGGGACATTCTTGAGGGAAACCTGTTTCAGTCTTCCAGAGATTTGAGACTTGGACAGAGGTTCACCTTTCAGCAGGACAATGACCCTAAGCATACTGCTAAAGCAACACTCAAGTGGTTTAAGGGGAAACATTTAAATGTCTTGGAATGGCCTAGTCAAAGCCCAGACCTCAATCCAATTGAGAATCTGTGGTATGACTTAAAGATTGCTGTACACCAGCGGAACCCATCCAACTTTACATTTTAGTCATTTAGCAGACACTCTTATCCAGAGCGACTTACAGTTAGTGAGTGCATACATTTCTCATACTGCCCGTGGGAATCAAACCCACAACCCTGGCGTTGCAAGTGCCATGCTCTACCAACAGAGCTACACGGGAGCTTGAAGGAGCTGGAGCAGTTTTGCCTTGAAGAATGGGCAAAAATCCCAGTGGCTAGATGTGCCAAGCTTATAGACATACCCCAAGAGACTTGTAGCTGTAATTGCTGCAAAAGGTGGCTCTACAAAGTATTGACTTTGGGGTGGGTTGAATAGTTACAGTGAGGGAAAAAAGTATTTGATCCCCTGCTGATTTTGTACGTTTGCCCACTGACAAAGACATGATCAGTCTATAATTTTAATGGTAGGTTTATTTGAACAGTGAGAGACAGAATAACAACAAAAAAATCCAGAAAAACGCATGTCAAAAATGTTATAAATTGATTTGTATTTCAATGAGGGAAATAAGTATTTGACCCCACTGCAAAACATGACTTAGTACTTGGTGGCAAAACCCTTGTGTCACGTTCGTTCAATGACGGGACGGACCAAGGCGCAGCGTGATATGCATAAATGTTTATTTATACTTAATAAACACTCGACAAAACAATAAACGAAACGAAACGTGAAGTCCAAGGTAGACACAAACAACATACCTTATACGGAACAAGATCCCACAACCACTAGTGCCAAAAGCCTGCCTAAATATGGTCCCCAATCAGAGACAACGAGCTACAGCTGCCTCTGATTGGGAACCACACCGGCCAACATAGATCTACACATAATAGACCTACAACATAGAATATATATAACAAAGAATATACACACCCTGACTCAACATATAAGAGTCCCCTGAGTCAGGGCGTGACACCTTGTTGGCAATCACAGAGGTCAGACGTTTCTTGTAGTTGGCCACCAGGTTTGCACACATCTCAGGAGGGATTTTGTCCTTCTCCTCTTTGCAGATCTTCTCCAAGTCATTAAGGTTTCGAGGCTGACGTTTGGCAGCTCGAACATTCAGCTCCTTCCACAGATTTTCTATGGGATTAAGGTCTGGAGACTGGCTAGGCCACTCCATGACCTTAATGTGCTTCTTCTTGAGCCATACCTTTGTTGCCTTGGCCGTGTGTTTTGGGTCATTGTCATGCTGGAATACCCATCCACGACCCATTTTCAATGCCCTGGCTGAGGGAAGGAGGTTCTCACCCAAGATTTGACAGTACATGGCCCCGTCCATCGTCCCTTTGATGCGGTGAAGTTGTCCTGTCCCCTTAGCAGAAAAACACCCCAAAAGCATAATGTTTCCACCTCCATGTTTGACAGTGGGGATGGTGTTCTTGGGGTCATAGGCAGCATTCCTCCTCCTCCAAACACGGCGAGTTGAGTTGATGCCAAAGACCTCGAATTTGGTCTCATCTGACCACAACACTTTCACTCAGTTCTCCTCTGAATCATTCAGATGTTCATTGGCAAACTTCAGACGGGCATGTATATGTGCTTTCTTGAGCAGGGGGACCTTGCGGGCGCTGCAGGATTTCAGTCCTTCACGGCGTAGTGTGTTACCAATTGTTTTCTTGGTGACTATGGTCCCAGCTGCCTTGGGATCATTGACAAGATCCTCCAGTGTAGTTTTGGGCTGATTCCTCACCGTTCTCATGATCAATGCAACTCCACGAGGTGAGATCTTGCATGGAGCCCCAGGCCGAGGGAGATTGACAGTTATTTTGTGTTTATTCCATTTGCGAATAATCTGCAACAACTGCTTGGCGATGGTCTTGTAGCCCATTCCATCCTTGTGTAGGTCTACAATCTTGTCCCTGACATCCTTGGAGAGCTCTGGTCTTGGCCATGGTGGAGAGTTTGGAATCTGATTGATTGATTGCTTCTGTGGACAGGTGTCTTTTATACAGGTAACAAACTGAGATTAGGAGCACTCCCTTTAAGAGTGTGCTTCTAATCTCAGCTCGTTACCTGTATAAAAGACACCTGGGAGCCAGAAATCTTTCTGATTGAGAGGGGGTCAAATACTTATTTCCCTCATTAAAATGCAAATCAATTTATAACATTTTGGACATGCGTTTTTCTGGATTTTTTTTTGTCTTATTCTGTCTCTCACTGTTCAAATAAACCTACCATTAAAATTATAGACTGATCATTTATTTGTCAGTGGGCAAACAAACAAAATCAGCAGGGATCAAATACTTTTTTCCCCTCACTGTATGCACGCTCAAGTTTTCTGTTTTTTTGTCTTATTTCTTGTTTGTTTCACCCCCAAAAATATTTTGCCTCTTCAAATCAAATGATACAAACCCCCCCAAAATCCATTTTTAATTCCAGGTTGTAAGGCAACAAAATAGGAAAAATGCCAAGGGGGTTGAATACTTTCGCAAGCCACTGTATACTAAACCCTGGCTAGCAAGTGTGCAACTGTGCCGCCATTTTGTGCGTTGTCATTGACCCAAGATGTCACAGTTTCCCCCCAACTTCACCTAAAACCTGGCTAGCAAGTGTGCAACTGTGCCGCCATTTTGTGTGTTGTCATGCTGCACACACATCACTACTACTGCTACTCTTATTATACTGCTGTTTATACACTGCTCCCACCCCCCCTTCCCCAAAACACGTGTAAATATCAGACTATATATTGTTCCTTCCTGTATTATACTGATGCTAACATGTTTATTCTGTTCTGCTGATCCATTTACTTTATGTTCCTATTCTTATATTTTAATATTTCTTATTGTTGTTCCATTGTCCAGAAGGATCCCTGCAGTAAGCATTTCATTGGACGATGTATACCCATTGTGTATCCTGTACATAAGACTAATAAAACTTGATGATGTTGAATTAGATTTCACCCACCTGGTTGATCATACAGGAGCTCACGTCTTCATCAGAGGGGATGTTGTGGCCTCTCTCCTTATTCTGAGACAGACAGATAATATACTATGTTTCCATTGTGTCCATTCGTATACAGTACATTTATAATTATATTGACTATATAATATATATTGTTTCAGCTGAACATGGTAGTGTTTAATCTATATTGTATATATTCTGCTTATATTGACTAGATATTGTGCATATAAATATATACACTGAGTGTACAAAACATTAGGAACACCTTCCTAATATTGAGTTGCACCCCCTTTTGCCCTCAGAACAGCCTCAATTCATTGGGGCATGGACTCTACAAGGTGTCGAAAAGCGTTCCACAGAGATGCTGGCCCATGTTGACTCCAATGCTTCCCACAGTTGTGTCAAGTTGGCTGGTGGACCATTCTTGATACACAAGGGAAACGGTTGAGCTTGAAAAGCGTGAAAAACCGAGAAGCGTTACAGTTCTTGACACAAACCGGTGCGCCTGACACCTACTACCATACCCGTTCAAAGGCACTCAAATCTTTTGTCTTGCCCATTCACCCTCTGAATGGCACACATACACAATCCATGTCTCAATTGTCTCAAGGCTTAAAAATACATATTTAACCTGTCTCCTACCCTTCATCTACACTGATTGAAGTGGATTTAACAAGTGACATCAATAAGGGATCATAGCTTTCACCTGGTCAGTCTATGTAATGGAAAGAGCAGGTGTTCTTAATGTTTTGTACACTCAGTGTATGTACTCACTCTGTACCAGATGAACATGGCTTTATATGTACTCACTCTGTACCAGATGAACATGGCTTTATATGCATTCTCATTGGAGCAGGATCCACAGGCCATGGTCTGGACACGGCTCATACCACTAGGAGCAACCTGGACGGAGCAGAGGAGAGGAGAGGAGAGGAGAGGAGAGGAGAGGAGAGGAGAGGAGAGGAGAGGAGAGGAGAGGAGAGGAGAGGAGAGGAGAGGAGAGGAGAGGAGAGGAGAGGAGAGGAGAGGAGAGGAGAGGAGAGGAGGAGGGAAGGAGTGTCTTGGATTGTATCCAGTCAAGAGGGATTGCACAATCCACAAAATGGAGGAAGCCAGCCTACAGTAATGGGGTCCAGCTAGAATCCCATCATTAGTTAGTTTCTGGTCTTTCACTAAATAATTGTTTTTTTTTTGTCTTTCTGTTAAAATCTGCCTGAAGCTTGAGTGTATGCAAAGTGTATGTGTGTGTGGCACTCACTGAGAGAAGGCTTTCCGCCAGCTTTTCCGGAAAGTTCTCAGGTGGCATGATCCCAAGAGCTGGCCTGTTCACAAATGCACTCTGAGAGGGAGAGAGAAAGAGAGACAGAGAGGAAAACATGGGGAACTAAGCATTACTATCAGATAAACGTGGGGAGAGATGCTCAACTCCAATGTCTTCTGATCGGTTTTCAATAACAGAGATTATTTGAATTCCATTTCATTTTTTCTGTGAGCTCAATGCGCACATTGCGCAGTTCCTCTAGAGATAAATCAGATCAAGCCCGAACTGTGCGATGTAGTAGGGAGTTGTAGTTTCCAACAGGCCAATATTCTACATAGTTTAGCTCAGAAAACGTGGTAATTAACTACAATGACCATAATCCATTGTATGCCTACTTGTCCAGTCTGTGTGAGGGCAGACACAGAGAGGCACAGACGGGACAGAAGAAAGCGTGATGGAGAGCGACAAAGAGCAGTTACTTCATGATCTACGTGATTGATAGTTGGTATTCAGCAGTCATAAAAGTATGCCTTATTTACTTCAGACAGCATAGGCAGCAGCTCTATAGAGATGAGATGATCAAATAAAACTAATGTAGTATACACAACTGAAATATTGTATTAAAGTAAAGTAATGTGAATAAATGATACGCTGTAATGGGCAGTCACTACCATCCTGGGACTTTTATTAATTGTTTTATTCTGTGTTTTACAGCATTCTCTCTCTCCCTCCCTCTCTCTCTCCCTCCCTCCCTCCCTACCTACCATATTGTTGGGGTTGGACATCACTTTGATGAGCGAGGGATGGTTGTATCCTGAAAGAGAAAATATTAATATTATAGAATTACAATTAGTGTTAATCACTTAATTATAACTAAACCATTTTAACCCAATGGAGCCAAATACAAGCTACAACCTAACCAACTATTGTAGTGTAGAAGACTGATTCCTACTGATGTAGCTTATGAAACACCACAGTGACTGTAATATCAGCCTTATATAAAGATGTGCATAGCAGTTCCAGTTCCCACCACTAGGGGACAGTACGAGAAGAGGGAACCCCTTAGACAACAGGGCCCGTCTCCACAAAGCATCTCAGAGTAGAAGTGATGATCTAGGATCTGTCTATATCAGGGCTCTCCAACCCTGTTCCTGGAGAGATAACCTCGATATAATTTTATTCTTTATGATCTAAAAGGCCAAACCGATCCTGGATCAGCACTCTTACTCTCCAAACGAGCTTCAATGCCATACAACACTCCTTCAGTAGCCTCCAACTGCTCTTAAACACTAATAAAACTAAATGCATGCTCTTCAATCGAACGCTGCTGGCACCCGCCCACCCGACTAGAATTACTACTCTCGGCGGGTCTGACCTAGAGTATGTGGACAACTACAAATACCTAGGTGTCTGGTTAGACTGTAAACTCTTCTTCCAGACTCACATTAAGCATCTCCAATCCAAAGTTAAATCTAGAATCTGCTTCCTATTTCGCAACAAAGCCTCCTTCACTCATGCTGCCAAACATGCCCTCGTAAAACTGACTATCCTACCGATCCTTGACTTCGGTGATGTCATTTACAAAATAGCCTCCAACACTCTACTCAGCAAATTGGATGTAGTCTATCACAGTGCCATCCGTTTTGTCACCAAAGCCCCATATACTACCCACCACTGTGACCTGTACGCTCTTGTTGGCTGGTCCTCACTACATATTCGTCGCCAAACCCACTGGCTCCAGGCCATCTATAAATCACTGCTAGGCAAATCCCCGCCTTATCTTAGCTCATTGGTCACCACAGCAACACCCACCCGTAGTATGCGCTCCAGCAGGTATATCTCACTGGTCATCCCCAAAGCCAACACCTCCTTTGGCCGCCATTCCTTCCAGTTCTCTGCTGCCAATGACTGGAACGAATTGCAAAAAATCTCTGAAGCTGGAGACACTTATCTCCCTCACTAACTTTAAGCATCAGTTGTCAGAGCACCTTACCGATCACTGCACCTGTACACAGCCCATCTGAAATTAGCCCACCCAACTACCTCATCCCCATATTGTTATTTATTTTGCTCATTTGCACCACAGTATCTCTATTTGCACATCATCTCTTGCACATCTATCATTCCAGTGTTAATACTAATTGTAATTATTTTGCGCTATAGCCTATTTATTGCCTTACCTCCATAACTTGCTACATTTGCACACACTGTATATATATTTTATGTTGTATTTTTGACTTTATGTTTTGTTTTACCCCATATGTAACTAGGGCGGCAG